CGCCACCGCTGCTGCTGCGTCCTCCACATCCATTCCAGCTGCGTCCTCCACCCCCTCTTCCTCCGACATGGCCGCATCCTCCATCAACATGTCTGACATCCGCAACGACTCGGTCGATAGCATCACCCGCAATCTCGCAGGCGAACAACCACCAGCAAACACCGCCACCCCCGACCTCTCCGCCATCCTCCGCGCACTCAACACCCTCCAAACCTCCGTCACTGCCTCTCTCGACGACATAAAGGCCAACATGTCGTCCATATCCTACCGCGTCACCGTGCTCGAAGGGAACAACCCCTCCATCACGGTCGTCACCATGGCCGCACCTCCCTCCTCCACAGCACAAACCACTCCTTCCTCCACAGCCACCTCCAGCAACACCCCCCCGCCAACCTCCTCCACTCCTACCACCTCTACCACCACATCCTCCAATCCTTCCTCCTCAACCCTAGCCCCCCCCTCATCCGGCGCTTCCAGCACACCGCCTCATTCCTCGCCTAACCACGTCACCCCTCTTCCCCCCCCGCACTCCCTTACTATCTCACAACCCATCATGACGACGTTCACCATCCCCACCCCCCGTCCCACCTATTCCCAAGTCACCTCCGGGGTTTACCCCGCAATGCCACAACTCCCCCCCAACTACCTCCTTGAGGACAACAACCAACTCGACTACACCTGCTACGACACCACCCCCGATAACCTCAGCTTCAACACCCTCGCCCGGATCATTCCCCGCGATGGGGAAATCCCCCGTTCCTTCCGATCCGTCGACATCATGTCCTTCTTCGACCTCCCCCACGAAGACGTTTTTCTCTTCCTAACCCAGCTCCATAACTCTTTTCACCTCCACCACATGCCCCTTGTCCACTGGCTTCCCATTGCCACCTCCCGCCTCCTCGACAATGCCACCAAATGGTGGATGGCTGAAGCCAGCAACTGTCGAGCCTCCTGAGGACCACATCACTCCTTCCTCCAATGGGCCAACCTTCTCACTGCCACCTTCCGCCCCCAGAAAACCATTGATGACTACCTCGAACAATTCTGTCACCTCCGCCAGACCGGTCCCACGGACCGTCCCACGGACCGCTTCGTCCAATACATCCGCTCCCTCCGCCATCACCTCACGACCCGTCATTCCTGACTTTGCGTTCATCTCTCACATCAAGCGAGTATGCCACAAAGACCTTGCAACCACCCTCGCCGACGAACCCGATATGCCCCTTGCTGACCTCCTCTCTCGCATGCTTCACCACGATCGACTCGTCCACCCCCACCACCAGCCCGCGCCCGCCACCTCCTGCACCCGCGGTTTCCACCACATCACCCCCACCACCTCCATCACTTCCTTGGACGAGTTCACCACACCTGACCCCGACGCATCTTCCGATTCACTCGACTCTTCATCCCTCACTTCCGAGGAACTCAATGTCGTCCAATTCATGAGGATGGAGCGCAGAGATCACAGCCCCGACCACCCTCATCTACCCCACCCTCCCGCCTCAAGAAACTCACCCCCGAGGAGCGCACCTACCTCCAAGCAAACGGGGGTTGCTTCCGTTGCCAATTGGGGCACCAACAAACCAACTGCCCCAACGCCGCACAATTCACCCGCTAGTCCGCCTCCACTCGACCCGCAACCTCCGCATCACCGCCCTCGGCAAGCGCGGGTCCCTCCTCATCATGAGCACAGTCTCCAGGACATCGATCTGGCATCGACAGTTCGTCTGCCTCACCCCTCTCCGGTGACGCCCCCTCCACCGGACGACTCCCAGGCATTGCAAACGCCTCCCACTGCCCCATGCTCCTCTACCCTTCTTCCAAACCCATCCACTGTCACCTTCTCCGATGTTGTTGAGGAATAAGCTCGACACGATCGGCTTGTCCGCTTAGGCAACGAACAACGCCGCCTCAACACCATCATCTCCATCACCAACTCATCTCGTTTCCACCTCAAATTCATCGCCGCCACCCTTGGTGCGTTTACAACTAAGTTCCGGGCCCTCGACATAGGAGCCACTAGTAACTTCATCACAGACGCGTGTGTCTGCAAAGCCGGTCTTACCTCTACCAGTTATGACTCCCCGATCACGATTCGCCTAGGGGACAAAGACACTGCCGTCGTAGTAGACCGCACGGTTCCCGAGACCACCATGACCGTCGGAGCCCTCCGCAGTTATGTCTCCATTCTACCTCGACCTTGGCTACCACCCTCGCTTGCCCTCTAACTTCTTGCTTCCTTCGCAGCTTAACCCATCCACCCCCTGCCCCTCTCTTAATGAATGGGTAGCAACAATGAAAAGAGTCCTGAGTGAAGCCTCTGAAGCCATTGAACGAACCCAAGAACAACAAGCCAACAAGACTAACAAACATA